AGATGTGTATAAGAGACAAACTCTCGTGTGAGCAACACGCACTCGATGCAAGCGTGTTGTAGATAACGCAACGCAAGCATGTCTACGTACACGCAATGCAAGAGTGTTGAAACGCTAGCGTGTTGATAAGTTCGTACCCATGCACAATGCACATGCAGCGCCATGCACAACTAATGGCAGGGGGCTAGTAACGCTCGCGCTATAAGAACTCAGGCCAGCTACTGAGCAGGGTAAGCCAATGGTGGCCTGGCCAGCCGCTAATTTCGTGTGTCATTTGACCCTTATATTTTTTCCCATGAAACTACCCAAAATAGCTCCTACTGGGCGGCTAATTATGAGATGCGGCCATTTCACATCTGAATCATCTCTAATCCGAGACTGACAACCGAAACCAGACCGTCTGCCGCGGCTAAATTTTGACAGGGTAGGAGCCACTGGTACAATTAGGGGCTACAGGTGCAACTAGGGGCTACAGGTGCAACTATATAGGGGCTACAGGTGCAACTAGGAGCCACTGGTACAACTAGGGGCTGCAGGTGCAACTAGGAGCCACTGGTACAACTAGGGGCTACAGGAGTAGCTGGGGGCCACAGGTTCAACGAGGTTGTAATGCCGTGTTCATTTCTGTGTGGCTTAAATTCGAAGTTTAATTACCGCACTCGGAACACACGTTTGGCTAACTGCGCAATATTATACTTAAATTTTTCCACTATATTTTAGTTTTAATTGTTAGATATGTTGGCCTTTTAGTAACTTAATCCTAAAATTACAATCAATATATTTTCAACTTTTTATTTTCAGTAGTTCTTTATAACTCACCGTGACGAAATTCTCATCAATGTTTGTTCCCTGAAATGAAAGAAAGAATTACAATTGAAGTTTCGTTAAATTTAATGCTCTTTTAAAGTGAAGAATTATTCAGCCACAAATTAGATAAATATTTCATATATTGATCGCACAGAATTATAGTGAATTATTCATATATTTTTGAATGAATGAGTCCCTCGAGCGGCATTCGTTTTGTGTGATTGCAATGCATTTGTACGTAATATCAATATAACAAACAAGAACAGTGATAACTGCTAGGCACTTGAACAGATAACGTAACGATGTAACGTAAGAGTAACGCACCGTTACGGAGGAGATAACGTAGAACATCAGCAACAGTTTTTTAGCGTCCATTTTCAGCCGTCTACTTGGAGAAGACCGAACCTGTAAATTTATAAAAAGAAGTATAATTTTTGTTGTGAAAAAGTGTAAACCAGTTATAAATGAGCTTATACGCACGAATGACATGAACTAGAACAGTTGGGTACTCTGCACACTTGTCAGTCATGCTCTGTACACCTGCCAGTTATAAACACGCGTTATGATAAAACTCCTAATCACGCGTCATAATGAAACTCCTAAATACGCGTCATAATGAAACTCTTATATACGCGTCATAATAAAACTCCTAATCACGCGTCATGATAAAACTCCTAATTACGCGTCATGATAAAACTCCTAATCACGCGTCATGATAAAACTCCTAATTACGCGTCATGATAAAAATCCTAATCACGCGTCATGATAAAACTCCTAATCACGCGTCAGAATAAAACTCTTAAACACGCGTCATAATAAAACTCCTAAACACGCGTCATAATAAAACTCCTAAACACGCGTCATAATAAAACTCCTAATCACGCGTCATAATAAAACTCTTAAACACGCGTCATAATAAAACCCGCTGTAAGGTTACACTCATAAAGTTCACAGGTGCGCGCCTGAATAAGGTTGCCCGAATAACCTCGCTGTGAAATAAATGTTTTGATGTGATGAAGTTGAGAGAACTGTGAGATAATAATTCTCAACTCAACAAGAGAGAACAAGAGAAATGAGAGAGAACAATTCACTATTATTCCTATAATATTATGGTTCTATTGTGTTATTTCACAAGTGAGAAAAACTGGAGATGCAAATGAAGATTTTTATATCTCCTTGTTTTTGAGGAGCTAACGTTATGGTAAAAAATAAATATTGTATAATAATAAATTATTTATTTTATTTTTAACAATGTTTTGATATCAACCAAGATTGTGGAATTGTTCTTTTAGATTTGAAATGAACTATCTGATTATATTTTTGGTTTATTAAACCAGTTATAACATTTAAACACAAGTGTACAACAGCTGTGCTCCACTTTAGGGTGCACAGCTGTTGATTCATACGATCAAATGTACGTAAATGCATCGTCGATCAAGCATAATATTTTAAACTAAAACTTGTACTCATGAATAAATATTTAGTGAAATTATTATATCGAATTTCGGAGAGAAGAATAAACACTACTTGAGTTTGACATTATAAAATGAGAACTTAAAAAATGAAGCGCAAGTCGATGAGTATCTCATTATTTAAATGTTATTCATATCAGTGAAAATACTTTTCTATGTTGAAGAAGGATCAGAAACATTGGTGAAATGTCATTAAAATGTAAAAGTACACATTTTATCGATATCATCACAATTTGGGCCGGTGGTGAAATTATGAATAAAGATTATAATAAACAAAAATTGAGGTGAAGCAGTTTAAATAAATTTACTGCTAACAAATAGAAGAAGAAAATAATTCTCTATTAGAGGCGAATAAAGGAATAATTTATTTATAGGTTCGCTTGGATATTTTCGTGTCTGATCCTCAATCGAAATAAAATCAGTAAGTAATGGGGCTACGCTCGAAAATGAGCATTTTAATGAAAATTAGATGTGCAACAAAATTAACAGTCAAAATAGGACTTTAGGAACGTATGCTAGATAATTATGTTAATCCATATATCAAAACTAAAAACAATTGCTGTTCTACGGATTTTTCATGTATAAATGCCCTTACAAAAAAAATTCTTATCTTTCATAATCTAACCTTATACAGAGTACCCTTAACCACAATATCGGTTGGGCGAGATTAAAATCGCCTCCAGCAGCCAAGTGTCTTCCATGGATCAAATGTATCATGTATCTGCAGCTTGTCTAATCTAAGATATTGTTCTAATTTATTGACCAAACAATTGTGAAGCATGAGTCTATTAATAACTGAAAAATGCAACGTGAATATTTAAAAACGTAATTTTCAAAATAGATCGTTCATAATTGATCAGGTATTATATACTTTGGTTATAACAAACACAGCCTTTTACAAAATGAATGCCATAGTTGAACAGATTTCAAAAAAAACTTATGGAAGCCCTGACAGCCGTTTAAAAAAATAAATGACTGAACAAATATTAAAGAAGTTTTATTCAGCTGCACGAAGATTAAGTAGTAGTTAATGGTAACTAAATAGACATGCATAACTCATTTCAAACATTAAGGTGATTCGAATATTTATTGAGCCACGTGTCAAAGTTCAGACATGAAATCATCTTTTTATTCTGTATAAATTTTTAGCGCATTTTCTCATTTATGAAAAAAAATGCACTATTGTGCTCGCCATGTCCGTCTGTCTGTCCGTCCGTCTGTCCGTCCGTCCGTGACCTCAAGTTTTCGTCGACTAGAAAATGCGCTCTCTGTCACTCACTGCAGTGAGTACTGAGTTATGATTTTTTAATTTAAGGGAAATTCGCTCAAATTCTTTTTTGATTCATGCGCTCGTCAGTCGACGAATAAAAATTCAAAGATTTCGTCCCGTCTCTTTAATGTTGAAAAAGTGAATACATTTAGGTATGTTATTTGTTATCTTTCTGAGCAAACGATATTATTTTACGATTTATATACTTTTCTTAGCATAAGAGTACCGCAGATTATAACAGTTACGTAGATTATCATGTTCCTAAAAATTGGATTTAGCTTGTGATAATCCTGAAAATAATCATAGTTCTGAAAATTGTCATACATGTGAAATTCGTCATAAATCTGAAAATTGTCATAATTCCGAAAATTATCATAGTTCTGAAAATTGTCATACATGTGAAATTCGTCATAGTTCTGAAAATTGTGATAATTCCGAAAATTTTCATAGTTCTAAAAATTGTCGTAGTAACGAAAATTGTCACAGTTCTTAAAATTGTCATAGTTTTGAAAGTTTCCCAGTTCTGAAAATTGTCATAATTCTGAAAGTTGTCATACATCTGAAAATTTTCATAGTTGCGAAAATATTCATAGACCTGAAAATTTTAATAGTTCTGAAAATTTTTGTACGTCTGAAAATTGTCATAAATCTGAATATTTTCATAGTTCTGAAAATTTTCATCGTTCTGAAAATTTTCGTAAATCTGAAAATTGTCATAGTTCTGAAAATTGTCATGTATCTGAAAATTCATCCAGTATATGAAATTCATTGGTAGTTTAGATTCATCCATTACGGTTTATGTTAAAAAAGTAGATTTTACCGAATTTTGTCACTTTCATAAAAATCGCTTCGAAATTGTGAATCACCGGAACTAAATAAAGAAAAATCAATCAACAATATCAATATTTTTCCTGATACAGTCCCAAACTTTTACTTAATTTACGAGATTCAAAGATAAGAACGATTTTACCAAGAGCCTCAAGCTGCATTATTTTGTCAAGCTTATTAATTTTATAATTTTTATAATATTTATAAATTTATATAAATTTTCAAGTATTTTTCGTTCGCTCTGCACGTGAACGTTAGTCTCGTTATATTCCAGTCAATATTAACTGGAAATATAACGGATGATTGAACAGGACCATGCTTTGACGGTCACTATAAATAAGAAATAAAATAATTATAAAATAATAATAAAAAGCTAAATTGTGGAGCTCAACAGATGTTCACACTGACAAAAATGTTATTCCAGTAAGAGTCTAGCAAGGACCATGTAATTACTAGTAAATCAATTAATATATCAGAAAACAGACCGAAAACATAAAAAGTTGTATTGCATGCTACGATTTTGGCATGGTAGCCAAGTCATGATACATTGCACTGTCAACTCAGAGTAGAGTTGAGTGATCATATCGGCAAAAATACATAATAATGTCTGTAAATCTATAAGTTTCGGGTAATATATATATTTTTAAATACGGAGTCATTTTAAATAAGTAGACAAGTTGAAAGAATCAGGTCAAATTCTACTTACTTGTATCAAGCTAATTATAATATAAAGTAATAATATTCAGCTTGGGTGCAGGATTAATGTTGTTGTCCACACTTGAAAGCCTCAGTCGCCGCACTGATGGTTAGTGCGCGCTGCGTGGCTACAAACCTCTGAGAGAGAGGCGAACTGAACTCTTTAAGAGAGCTGTGAACTGAACTCTTTAAGAGAGCTGGAAACTGAACTCTTTAAAAGAGCTGCGAACTGAACTCTTTAAGAGAGCTGTGAACTGAACTCTTAAAGAGAGCTGTTAACTGAACTCTTTAGGAAAGATGCGAACTGAACTCTTTAGGCGAGCTGTGAACTGAACTCTTTAGGAGAGACTGAACTCTTTAAAAGAGATGCAAATTGAACTCTTTAGGAGAGCTGCGAACTGAACTCTTTAAGAGAGCTGCGAACTGAACTCTTTAGGAGAGCTGCGAACTGAACTCTTTAAGAGAGCAGCGAACTGAACTCTTGAAGAGAGCGACAAACTGAACTCTTGAAGAGAGCTGGAAACTGAACTCTTTAAGAGAGCTGGAAACTGAACTCTTTAGGAGAGCTGCGAACTGAACTCTTTAAGAGAGCTGCGAACTGAACTCTTTAGGAGAGCTGCGAACTGAACTCTTTAAGAGAGCTGCGAACTGAACTCTTGAAGAGAGCTGGAAACTGAACTCTTTAAGAGAGCTGATTATACACATAGTCATCTTTCAAAATGATAGTCGTGAAAAGATGAAATGCAAGTCGATAGAAATCAAATTATTTAAATAATTTTTTCCGGCTACAACCTCATCAGAAACATTGGTGAAAATTGATTTAATTGTAAGAATAATTATATCAAAGTCATCACAATTGGAGAACGTTTAAATCCATCGAAATGGAAAATTAAACATCAATGACCTACATAACAATTAATGAGTTGAACGATAAAAAGAGAAAAATTGCCATTATCAGAGGCTGAAAAAGCAGCGAATTTAAAATTTTTGCACCTATACAGTCAAATTCTAAAAAATTACACTTGTCGAAAATTATCGCATATTGTTACATATTTTTTATGATATTATAATAAATACGTCATCACATACTTCACATTCATTCATTATCGTAACTTGAGCCAAATG